TTTTTTTTTTTTTTTTTTTTTCAATTTGATATTCCCCAACCTACACAAGTTGTTCCTTCCATTACTCCTGCTATTTCATCTCCACAGCAAAATGACAACAACAACAATAGCCCTGATATCTCTTCCTCAACCCCTTCCTCAAATCCATCTCCTATCATGAATCAGACTACTTCACCCACTCCTCTAAGGAGATCTACCAGAACAAGAAATCCTCCTTCTTACCTGAACATATATAAACATTTTATCCCTCGTTTTTCTAATCTTTCTTTTTGCACAGATCAGACTAACACATCTGGTACATCCCCATATCCCATAACTAATTTCTTATCCACTGATATATTGGATGCATCTTTTTCTTGCTTTTTTGCTTCTATCTCTGCTATTCCAGAACCTAGAACTTATAAGCAGGTTGTCAAAGATCCACATTGGCAGACAACTATGTCTAAGGAATTGGAAGCCTTGGAAAAGACTAATACTTGGGTCTTGACTGACCTACCTCCAGGTAAGCACTGCATTGGGTGCAAATGGGTTTATAAAGTAAAGTATAACTCAGATGGCACACTAGGTAGATATAAAGCCAGAATAGTGGCGAAAGGTTATACACAAGATGAAGGCATCGATTACTTTGATACCTTCTCCCATGTTGCCAAAATCACTACTGTTAGAACATTGTTAGCAATATCATCTATTAAAAACTGGTTTCTTTATCAACTGGATGTTAACAATGCTTTTTTCCATGGTGATTTAAATGAAGATATATATATGACTCCACCCCCTGGTTACTCGAATGATACTTCACACAAAGTATGTAAACTTGTAAAAAGTCTATATGGCCTTAAACAAGCCTCTAGACAGTGGTTTCATAAACTTACTTCTTGCTTATTACATTATGGCTATTTCCAATCTAATGCTGACTGCAGCCTGTTTGTCAAATCATCAAATTCATCATTCACTGCCCTTTTAGTTTATGTTGATGATATCATACTGGCTGGCAATGACATGACTGAGATTAATGCTGTTAAATTCCATCTGCATGTTTGTTTTACTATTAAAGATTTGGGAACACTAAAGTACATTTTGGGAATTGAAATTGCACTATCTGATAAAAGCATTAATCTTTGTCAAAGAAAATATGCTTTAGATCTCTTACATGATACAAGTTACCTTGATTCAAAACCTGCTAATTCTCCTATGGATTCAAATTTGAAACTTACTTCTGTTAGGACTGATAATTTTGAACCTGTTGATGCCACTGCATATAGAAAACTCATAGGGAGATTACTATACCTTACTATTACAAGGCCTGATCTCTCATTTTGCATTCAAGCATTAAGTAAACATATGGTGTCTCCTACCACACTAACATCTCACAGCAACACATAGAGTGCTCAGGTACCTCAAAAATTCAGTGGGCAAAGGTATTATTCTATCCCAGAAATTCTCCTTTATTTTTACATGCTTTCTCAGATAGTGACTGGGCTGGTTGTATTGATACTAGGAGAAGCATTACAAGTTATGCTTTTTTTATTGGTAACTCTTTAATTTCATGGAAATCTAAGAAGCAACAAACTGTTAGTAGATCTTCTGTTGAATCTGAGTATAGAGCATTAGCATCTACAACATGTGAGGCACAATGGTTATTGTATCTGCTTAATGATCTCCACATATCTCATTCTTTTCCTGTGACTGTTTTCTCATATAGTAAATCTGCCATTGCATTAGCTAACAATCTTGTCCAACATGAGTGGACCAAGCATATAGAAATAGACTGTCATATTGTAAGGGAAAAGCTCTCCACTGGCACTGGCACAATTCAGCTGCAGTTTGTTCCTTCTTCAGAGCAAGTTGTTGACATCTCACAAAACCCCTTGGAGTTCAAGCTTTCCAGCACAATTTATCCAAGATGAACATGTTAAACATCCATCCTCCTCTTGAGAGGGGG